TTTTTTTTTTTTTTAAAGATTTTATTTATTTGACAGAGAGACACAGCGAGAGCAGGAACACAAGCAGGGGGAGTGGGAGAGGGAGAAGCAGGCTTCCCGCTGAGCAGGGAGCCCGATGCGGGGCTCGATCCCAGGACCCTGGGATCATGACCTGAGCCGAAGGCAGACGCTTAACGACTGAGCCACCCAGGCGCCCCAGAGGCGGTTTTAATACTTCATGGAGATAGGAATGCACTGACGTGAACAAGGTATAGGATGCAACCATGTGACAGAGTTAGGAAGATGAAGGCCTGCACGAGTCTCAGGTTTCTGGGTGCTTGAGCCAGAATAGAAAGCTCTAGAGGAGCAGTAGCTGATTAGCTGAGCCAAATCAGATTCCCGTAGAAACCATCCTCCTCCTAAAAGTCATTCTTCACTAAAGCTGATTCCTGATTCCCGAATCCATGAAAAGCTAATGACAGGGCTAACTTAAATGTATGGTTAGACTAAAAATTTTCCATTCCACTGCCTGATTTCTTTTTTTCTTCCTCAAATTGCATCCAGGAACAGATATCAATTAGTTAAGCTGGTTGAAAAAAGAAGTAAAAGTAAAAAATGTTCCCTCTCTCAGAATATTTCTTTATATAATATAGTAGCCTCTGGGGGCCCAGTCTGCTAGTAATGTTTTCTTAAAATCTTGTTATATATATATATATATATATATATATATATATACACCTTATATATATATATATAAAATAATTTCTTAAAATTTTCCTTAACTATGAGATAACATAATTGGAGCCTATTGATAACTTGGCAGAAGAGGAGATACTCTACATTGGCTATTTAAACCTGATGATCCAAGAGAAGATAAGATATGTTTATCTATTGGTTTGTACTCCCACTTTCTAAAAAGGAATCAAAGTGACTGATGAAAGGAAATTTGCTGTCTGTCACCAAATGCAGAAATAAATTTCATAGAAGTTGTGGAATCATGACCCTCAAATAATGTCATCATTGCATGTGTTCCAAAGACGCAGAATTCCCACAAACTTGATCTGAAGACAAATGCAGAACTGGGAAGCAGTCACCTGGTTTCCCACCGCAGCATCCTGAATAGTGTCGTTACATGTTCATGCCCATCAGGAATATCACTGTGACTTCAGTGCTCAAAGCAACAAGTAATCAGAATGTGCCAACTAAGATGTTACTCTGGCCTTTGGATTTTCTTAGCCTCAAGACTCAATGGCTGGATGCTGCTGGACTCTTATTATATCCCAGGTGGGAAGAGAAAATACTAGAGGCATATTGCATCTTATTTCCCCTAATGAATGCCCTTGATTTGTTGTAAACTATTCTCTTCTTTGCCCAGCCAGTGTTTCTCAAAGCACTGTTTTATATTCTGCTGAGTTAAAGAGATTGTTATTCTCTTTGAGGGGATTTTCCCAGCCTAAAAAGTAACTAATATGTGCCCCAAGTGTAGGCTCTCTAAACGCACTGGCTGGAGTGGAAGATTCTGCTCTGCCTTCTGCAGACAATGCTCTAGCTGGGTCTCAGGTGGGGTTAGAAATTGTCCTTCACTTTTCTCTGTATCCCAGGTCTATGGCACATTGCTTGGTACACAGCAGAGGCTTAACAAAATATTACTGGTGAAAAAGATGCATACATGGATTTACTTAATTTTAAATTCAAAACAAAGCTTTACCAAAGTGGTTTGTGACATGTGATAGGAGGTCGTCATATCTCATCAGGTTAGTT